CCTTCCAGCCTGTTCTTGAGCGACTTGCAGCTAGTATTTCGGCTCGAACGTTGGCCATGCTACATGGACTGTTCAGTCAGACACTGCCGCTGCTCTCTCGCAGCAACTCGGTGGCTGCTGTCGTTGTTTTGGCGGTGGTTGTTGTTTAAATATTTAGGGGCAATGGATGTAGTTGTGCATGCACTGTCAATGCTGCTGATGCTGCTGGTGATTGCCTGTAGACTTGAAGTTGTTGGAATCACATTTTGTCGACTGATTTCGCAGTGATACACAAACTAACACAATTTGTGGTACGCTAAAGCCAATTAGTGCCACTAACTAAAGTGCAATGCTGTGCTCATAATCATATGCAAATAATCGTTGTTGCTGATGCTGATTGAGGCTGATGGTGGTGGTGGTGGTGGTAAATGTGCTGGTAAAGTAGTCGTCGTCGCCGTCGTAGTTGCCAGCTGGAGAGCTTTTCTAAAGAACGGTTTCATCTGCAAAGAAGAAAAGAAAAGAAGAAAAGAAGAAAGAAAAGGATGAGAACAAATCGTTAGAGAGCAAATCACATCCCGATATAGCAACAATTGCCCCAGCCAATCTATCCAATGGCACCAGAACATATACACACACACACTCGCGCACATTACCGTCACACTCGATCTTTCTTTCGGCGTCTGTGTCAGTGTCGGCGGCATTGCAGTTCTTTGCCATCAGCATCACCACCAGCATCAGCATCGGCAGCAACATCAGCATCGGCAGCAACAGCAGGAGTCAGTGTCAGTGAGCCAGACGACGACTGATGGTGATTGCTGCTCCAGCGACACACACAGTAACCGTCACAGTCGCTTGTTCCACTCACCAGTCACTTGCACTGCTGAAAAACGAACGACTGCGATATGGCGAATTTAAATTGCAAAGTGCAATGTACAACAGTGCTCACACACACAACCCCACTCACACACAGAATATTGGTAATCAGTCAGAACGAACAAAGTACGAGCAATGATCGTACGGTGAGTGTGTGTGTGTGTGTGTGTGCGTTGCCACACGATGAGGTCAGATGACAGGAGGAAAGAAGACTACAGTAATGGAGAGACAATACAAGACAGATTAAGAAGCAATCGAGAGAGGGGGAGAGAGTGCAGTGGAGTGACAGTACTCCCCCAGAGACTCAACACCAACTGATAAGGAGGACGGCTGCCTGCGGTAGGGCAAAAGCATGGCAAACAAATAGGCTAATAACAGTTGGCCACTAAGGCTGTTGGACAATCACCAGCAACACTACCACCAATCATCGCAGCGAGTGACAGACGACACTGCAAACAAGCACTGACAGGCGAGTTTGATGTGTTTAAGCCTCAAGTCACATACATACAGTCACACACACCTACCGGTAATGGTAATGCAGATCAAATTAGACTGTCCCCTGGACACGAACAAAACGGTGGAGCACGAAACGAAACACCTTTCGGGACACTGACTCACTGAAAATCTGATGTAAACGACACGACCGAGAACGATGAATCGACGGCTGGCGCTGGATTCACTGCTCGTTTTCTCCGCAAAAGATCACTCTCGAAAAAAGATTTGAGTAATGCTGTGGCCCGTATGCTGAAGCACACGAAGTAGCAGCAGAGTCCTTGTTGTCAACGTACACAAAAACAAGCACTTACACACGCTCAAGTGCTGCGACACTGCAAAAAAGAAGAATAAAAAGAAAAAACTGTGACAATTTAGTGACAAACGACGACGGGGACGAGGAGGATGAGGATGAGCACATTTGTTGAAAGCACTAACGATGACTGTGTGTGCATGTTTGTATGTATGTTTGCGATGCATTGAACGAGAATAGCGTCAGTGAAAAGTGTCAGCTTAAAGTGAGAGAGATGGCAAACTTGAAGAAGAGACACTTTAGAGTTGGCGGTGGTGGTGGTGGCGATGGTGGCAGTAGTGTCTATGTGCCTATTGCGGCGAAAAAAAGATCAAGATCACACTGGTGCGCGGAAATAGACCAGGCGAGGGCATCAACGTGTGCAATCTCCCTGCGCCCGCGGTAATCAGAGGAGCAAATACACTCGTACACACTGCCAGACAGACACAACTGAGAAACCACAAGGTAGCAGGCAGCAGGCAGTGCGCGATTGTGGACGGATAGGCTAATTAATAATAACCCTTTATTAAGATGAGCGGTATCTGACCTGCTGCTGCAGAAGTTGAAGGAAGCTGCTGCTGCTGCTGAGCGGACAGCAGAGCAGAAAGTCTACTACAGTGGTGGTGGTAGTGGTGATGGTGGTGGTGTGTATGAGCGAGCAGACCAGCGCCGAGGTTGGTGTTAGGTCAAGCGAACAAGTTTACAGCCAAGTTTTCACTGGCAGGCACTGTCCCCCATCACTGACAGTGCACTTGTGCAGCGGTGGTGGCGGCGGCGGCAGCTGTCCGTCTGCGACTGTCTATGTCTGTGCTCGATTACCTGGAGCCACTGTCCGGTTTCCAGCAATTCTATCTCCTCTGCCCGCCTTATCGGCTGCTGTTGCTGCTGCTGTTGCAGCTATTATTGTCTTGCACCCGTCAGTGTTTGTGTGTGCGCGAGTGCCATTCACTGAAGAATGGGAAACGGCGGCACGAGGAAGTTTTGAAGGAGGTCGAGGGGCGACCGAGGAGAGAGAGAGAGACAAGAGAGGCACAACGACAGGACGAGTACGTCGCCTTGGATGCACCGACTGAACACACTCGGGTTGTTCTCTCTCTCTCTCTCTTTCCCTGTGTAAGGGTCAACAATGGAAGGCGCATAGAAGGAGCGAAAGGTCGCAATCGCGGTCTGTCTGTCTTTCGCTGTTCATTCTTTCTTTCAATCAAGCGACGATCTTTTTGGCAGCGAGCAGAGTGAGTGAAGGAGGCGATAGGAGTCGACAAGTGTCGACTAGTACCGGGGGAAAGAACATCCACACTACTACTACTACTTCTTCAGCTGCTAAACTACGGCAAGCTGTCACCAATTGCCGATTGCTCCACTTTGTGTCTGCGGTCGAAGCAGGTAGCAGCAGGGGGAGCAGCAGAAGCAAAAACAGCGGGAGTGAGCATCAGTAAAAAGCAGCAAAAAACCTCGCCGGCGTTGGCGGCAACATCAGCGAATCAGCTAAAGAGCGGCAGCGGCAGAAAGATCGCCCACGGTTTGGCCGACTATTGATTTGGTCGATTAAAAGTCAATTAAATCACTGAAGAAGACATAATGTGCGCTCAAGTAAGTCATCGGCGGTAAATGTCTTCATGCATGCCTGCCAGCTAGGGAGCGGAAAGCAACTGCTGTTGTTGTTGCGTTTGTTAACACATCAAAGCACAAAACACCTCTGACCACAACCTCTGCACACCACTCCGACTTTTCCACCTGCATTCTGGAGCAAAGGGGAAGAGAGGCCTAAATGAGCGCCGGTGATGGCGGCGGCCTCGACCAATTAAGAGTTTCACTCTGTGCTTGTAAATGAGAGAGTTTCGCTTCAGAAACGATGAAGACGATTCACACAGACGAAGAAATTCTCTTCAATCTAATAATTAATTTAAAGTACTCCGCACTGCGGCAGTGAGCAGGTTGAGGAGAGTGCACTCTCCTGAAAACACCGCACACACACACCGGTGCTCTCTCAGAGAAGGGCATAATTAAAAGTTTAGCGAATAATTACCGATGGCAATCTCGGATGGCGCAATGGCAGTGGTGGTGGTAGTACGGTTTTACTGATCAGCAATTTACCGAAATGCTGGTGCTGGTGCGGGCTGATGGCACTATGGATATGATGAGAAGGAGGAAAGATGGACGCTCTTCTAACTGTGAAGATGATGATCTGGCACCTGGCCAGACCTGGCAAAGACGGTGTCCGGTGCCCGGAAAGGCCGATGTCGCCTGGTGAGAGGGGCTGGGTTGCTGGTGGTGGTCGTGGTGGATGTACAGCTGAGGAGGAGGAGGAGGAGGAGAAGACGGTAATTCGCAGTGCATCGACTGCTGCTGTTGCCGCAACACAGAAGCGCGCACAGACGGACAGACAACAACAACAAAGCACTCTCCGAGCACGAGAGAGCGAGAGAAAGAGCAAGAGAAGAAAGAAAAGAGGCGCTGAACCCTCGGAGAGACTCGCCCCAGCGCTGACCCGAGCGGCGACTGGCGGCGACAGGGTCAGTCTGCGGTATTCCCGTCTATTCCGCGGTGGAATCTCCCAATCTACTGATCGGGCAATGGGCTCGCTGGAACAGACGGCAGCGGCACCAGCAGCAGCAGCGGATGCGCTGTGTGATGAGCAGCGGCTCAAAGTGCAACTCAACTGGAAACTGCGATTGTCGCTAGGTGAACGAAGAAGACGAGGATGAGGATGAGGATGAGCCGTCTCGATCGATGCGGCAGTGGCNAGAAGAAGAGGATGAGGATGAGGATGAGCCGTCTCGATCGATGCGGCAGTAGTAAGCGGCAGTAGTGGCTTAGTGGGCCGCCCCACCTTGCCGACTGGCGGATTCTCTGCTTCTTTAAATACACACACACATTCGGTTCTGCTGTGGTGGTGGTGATGTTGGTGTTCCACTTCTTTTGCGGTGGATACACTTGAATGACGGCGGCCTTGAAGGTGCCATCATCGTCATCACTGCCACCACCCTTATCACCGCCATCATCTGTCGCCTGACACTTTCCCCCGGCACTGCAGTACTGCTGCCAAAAGATTCTTTCAAATTAATAGTGCCACTTGCTGAAAGAATATTCCTGTAGTTCTTGTTTTGGGTGATTTGATTCAATCGAAAAATGCGAACAATTCCCAAAAAGTATTCGTGTTACAAGTTCGATAAGTGAACAGCGAATTAGCAGCTGCGAAATATTCAAAGCTCTAAAGGCGCCAAAGTTGCGAATTTTTCAAAAATATCGAAATTGAATATCTAGAGATATAATTGATCGATCGGGATTCCTACTTTTTTCCAGATTGTTTAGCAGAGTGTTCGCTACTTCTGCCGCATCCAAAAAAACGAAAAAGAAAGGTTTTTGCTCCAGGACGGTCTCGATCCGTCGACCTTAAGATTATGAGACTTACGCGCTACCGACTGCGCCACTGAAGCATTATGCTAAAGATTCAACACTGTTGTCTCCTTTAGTTCTATTGTCGCAGAATAAACCGAATAAGTTTTCAAACATTTTCTAAGCATTGATAACTACTCAAAAACAGCTTGAATATTCTGTCAGTTAATTTGAATTCAGAATTTTAATTGGAATCCATATCAAATGGGATACATTGATTGTGCAATTACTGTTCAATTTGGCTTAAACTCCTGTTTAAGCTAATTACCAGTCGCTCCCGGCTGTTCTATATAGCCATTTTTGGCACTGAAAACCCTTGGCAACCCGATCAATGGGCTTGTTTACAGCAACGAAGTGGAACCAAAAAACAAGCAAAGAGGATCGCCGCCAAGAAAAAAGTTACCACGAAGACCACCAGCGCTAACAGCGGCAGCAGCAGCACTGGCGCTGAGGTCACCGCAGAAATGGGCAATTACAGAGAGGCCATTTAGCGACTTTTGGCGAGAGCACAGCTGAAAATTTAAGAGAGAAGAGTACTACCTGGCCTCTAAAGCCTTTGTCGCCCGAACTCTCTCTCCAGTGCAGGGGATTCCAATTCAGGTTTTGCCGCAGCAGAAGCACACTTTTTCCAGCAGGTTCGAAAGACGCCGTCAGCACTGTGGAAATAGTGGCAGCAGCAGTCAGCCAGCCAGCAGCCGTCTCTTCTCCCCTCCTCATCCTCCTCACTCCTTCTCGCTCCGTTCCAGCGCCCAATTAACCCAATTCTTCTCGCCCTTCGACTGAATCCCAACCGTCGACAGGCGATCCAAACCACTGTCCGCTACCAGACTACTCCGTTTTGCAGCTTTTCTTCGCGTGTCACGCCACTATTCACCCGTTTTGAGCTCCACAGATGATGTCCAATGAGTTTAACGTTGACAATAACAATAATGATGGTAATGCCTCGTGCCGCTTAAACCCAGTCAACAACCGCTGCTGCAGCCCCACTGTCACTTTGCCCATTGACTTGACCGGTCACCACAAGGACCCTCACCTTGCAAAGAGTACCTCCAAGAAGGAGAAAGGCAGCGACAGCTTGAGCTGTTCTCTAGACGCTACCAAAACAACCGTAAGTGTGGCCTACCCTCTTCACCTCTAATAAGGTCATTCGCTAATCGTTTCATTTTCTTACTTAGGTTGTAAAAAACTTCAACCCACTCAAAGAATCTAATGTAGTTAACGAGTGCAAACGAGGCGCTGACGATACCATCTTTGAATTAGAATCCTCGCCGGATGAATTAGAGGAAATCTCTAGCTCAAGTGAAAAGGAGGAAAACAAGCCTGATCAGGCCAAGTCGGCCCAACGGCTGAGGCTTCTGACGAAGCAGGTGTGTGCTTGTTGAAAGATGATTGTCATTTGAAGTTTGCTAAGTTCATGTGTTTGTTTATGATGATGATGGTGTAGAATTCCGTTCGAGGCATTCTCAAGTATCCTCCTGGCTGGCGACGACGAGCCATCTCCGAGTCTTCAGCTCTGGTCGGCTTCTCTACTGGCTCAGTTTCCGATGACAGCGCATTCTTCGGAACATCCCTCGACTCGCCGGACATTCTCTTTGAGTTTGACGATGATGAGGATATCGAGGAGGGCGAGGAGGGCGACGGCCAGGATAAACCAAGGAAGAGCGTCACTTTTTCCGAAAAGATGACCACTCTATTTGTGTTTCGCCCCAATTCGAGCATTTTAGGGCGGCGGATAAAGAACCAGAAGAAGGCGGCAAGAAGGCGAGAAAAGAAGTTTCGAGACTCACAGGAGAATCTTGACGTCAACTCGGCGCCCGTCAACTTTAAGGATGAAGTAGAGGCTGCCAAGCACTACATTTCTAACCAGCAGTGTTCTGTGGTCTACGTCGATTTCTACGATTCGGGCAGCAGCGGCTGCGAACTGACCGACTGCTCCAGTACCAGTGCCAGTGAGTGCTCTGGTGATGAGGACTCAGGTGAAGTGCCCATACCGGCTGAGTCGCTCACCAGTTATGTGGACGAAGGATCAAAGGACGGCGGCAGTGTCCAGCAGAATGGCAAATCGAAGCGAAAGAACCGTCGCAATCGTAACCGGAAAAACAAGCAAACGGTGCGGACTGCACTTGAGACTGGTGGCTACGATAGTGATTGAGCGGTTATTACCTCTTCAGTTGCCTCCCTTCATTGCACTGTCACCACAGAGTGACATTGCTGAAAACCGTTTGTGGTATCATTGAGCTAACTAATTCTTTACTACACAGTTGTACTTTCAATAGTGTCTTTTTACGATGTTGTGCACTCATCACACCTTTTGAAGCTATTTGTTTTTCGCCTGTGAAACCCTTATTGCTAATTAATCAACTCTACCATACCTTCTTTTGTGAAGCCCTTTCTAATAATAGCTCCTTGCTCTCACGTGCTATCGGCGGTGGTGGTGGTGCTGATATTTCAATGTCAGTGACGTGCGCACCGCGCGCCAAAACAAAAGTGTCACACTGCTGTCATTTGCATGTTTTTGTACACTCCCGTACATTGCTAAATACACTGCTAATGAATGAGTGAGAGAGAGGTGTAGAGGCACTTGAGTGTGCCTTTGCAGCAGCAGCCTCTACACACACTCAATGATCAGCCATGAGGAGCAAAGATTGATGTATTGATAGTTCAACAACCAGTCACCGCCGGTGCTAGTGCTGCTTGGCCACTGTTTGCTGATGCTGCTGATGCTGCTGCTGTACGGTGGCAGGCACTGGCACTATTCGACTGAGCCAGGCGGAGGCGAGCACGGCACTGGCCGTCGGTCTTCGGCTCACTGCCGGCTCCAGCAGGGCGGTGATCAGAGCCCGACAGTCCTTTGAGAGCCTGAGCAGTGGGTTGATGCGGTAGTCGGCCTTGAGCTGTCTGCTGGTGAGCTCCTTCGAGAGGAGGTCGTAGTCGCCCTCGAAAGGCCGCTCGCCGTGCAGCAGCTCAAAGAGACAGACGCCCATAGAGTAGATGTCCGCCTTCTTCGCGTCGTAGTGGGTGGAGTACCAGCCGTTGGGGGTGAGGGCGCGCACTTCAGGGGCGGCGTACAGGGCAGTGCCGCAGACTGACTGACACAGCAGGGGCCCCTCTGCCGCAGTGTCGTACCGGATGATGGAGAGGCCAAAGTCGGTGATCATCGGCTGGAGGCTTTCATCGAGAAGGAAGTTCTCCAGCTTCAGGTCTCGGTGTGCGACATTGTGCTGGTGGAGGTACTCCAGGCCGAGCATGAGACTGGTGAAGCAGCCTCGACAGGGCGCCTCCTCCATTCGGCTGCCATTGCGACCTTTCACCCACCTCTCCAGTGACCCATTGGCAGCGTAACGCATAAAAATGTACGCCTTGGTGGGCGTCTTGATGGCGTCATAGGCGTAACAGATGTTCTTGTGGCGCAGCTTCAGCATTATCTTCATCTCCTGCTTCAGGTACTTTCTCCTCCAGTAGAGACTGAGCGAGTGCAGGCAAAAGACCTTACAGGCCAGCTGAACGCCTGGCAGGGCTGTGTTTGTGGCCAGGTAGACGCTGGCAATTAAATGTGGCTGGTTTAGTAAAGTTTTAAAAATAACTAGCTTTTGAAAGATTGCTTACTTTGCAAATGACCCTTCTCCAATCTTCCGGTGCAACTCATAGCCAATGGAGGTGACCGCAATGGGCAGTACGGTGTCCGATTCAGGTACTTCGCAACTGCTCACCGACAACCGTCGATGGGCACTTGTTGCCCTGCGTTTCTGATTGCTTTTTACAATGTTTGTTGATTTCGGTTCCGGTGTCTCCTTGTCCACCTCTTTATGTTTGTGACTCTGACTGTGTTTGTCAGCGAGCTGCTTACCACCAGCTCCACCCATGACTGTCTTCAACAAAGTGAACAAGAAAACTAAACTTGAGCTAAATAGGCAGTTTTCTAGTTCGAAATGTTCACTAGTTTGTTTATTGAATAAAAATCGATCTAAAAAATTCTAAATGAGATTAGAGTTTTTGTAAAAATATTTGGTTTTTTTATAAAAAGAAGTGCCAAAGAAAATCCACACAGAAAGAAAAATCTCATCAGTTGTAAAGACTCTATGATATCGGCGTCTGCAATGATTTTTTATATTTTCGCTTTCAGTTTGCCTGTACTGTGTCCCATTAGAGGGCAGCGTTGTGTATGCTAAAAACCTGTTTTTTCGAATTTCAATGTTTTGTGCCGGTAACTAAAGGCTTTTGTCTGTCCTTACAGTGTTAAAATTCAAAAACTCCCATTATCATCGATAATGTCGATGCGATAAGATAAGATTGCCTGACAGAGGTGCGCCAGCGTGTGTGTGTAATGAGCTGTCAAGCATTGGTAATGTGGACATCATTTAAAAGTTAAAAAGCAATGCTCATTTGTGAAGTCAATCCACTGCAATCACTGCCTTCATTTCTATTATCATTTCCGCTTGATGAACAGACAGACATTTCTGAAAAAAAACATTTCTGGTAAATGGCCCTCTTCTTCAGAAAGCTTAGAGCTGTGTCAGTGATGTGGAGAAAGTCTGATCCCTCTTTCACTCTCCTTCTTTGCTCGACAATGCACCAATTGACACTTTATTGGAGACACTGGACAGTGCACCAAGAAAGACAATGGTCAGACAGTGAGAGCGACACCTAACACCGGCTCGCAGTGTGTGCTGCTGCTGCTGTTGTTGTCCAATGACATCGCCACCTATTTATAGCGCACTTCTTTTTGGTGCGCTACTGCTACTGCTTGACGATGGAGCGAGTGCGTGTCGCCGAGTGGTCAGCGTCGGCGGAGTACACAGTTGTCGATGCTGCTACAGATGGTGGTGATGCATTGGCATTTCGGTCTGTCTGTCTTTCTTTCTTTCATCTGTTCACACTGACGATTCAGACGAGTCAGTCGGTCGGTCGGTCAGCACTACACTGATGATGCTGTACTTGTCGTGCACTATCCTCGGTGCAGTGTGCGACAGTGTTATGGCCCGAGCCGACAAACAATTAGTGGCACGCTCAGACGGCGCTCCAAAGACGCGTTTGCCAGCAG